TCAAAGCTTTTTCTGGATGTCCTGCCCAGGGAGGTGGGCTCCCCTAGAATCCCATTCTAGAGCCCAGAAAATAGACACTAGGCCTCCCTGCCATCTACATTTGACCAGGTAGAGTGAGTGAGTGACCCATCTGTAGTCACAGAAGAAGTTAGGGACAGAGTCTCCCACAGCCTCCAGATAGGACCTCTGGTAGAGGCCCATGGTGCTGCCAGGGATGGCCATGTTCCTGGCTCTAGGCTCACATGAACCATACTAGTCCCAAGAAGCTGGTGTCTCTAAGGCACTATAGGCCACTTAGGGCCAGCTCCCTGGATGTGGGCTCTACATCACCACCCTCTTTCAATACCTGGCTCCTCCAAGCATGGGGAGGTGTTGGGGACTTTCCATTTTTTTTTCCCAGATTCTTTTTCTGGTCTCTAGAATGTTATTTAATAAGCATGCACATTTTTTATGATCAAAGCCAATGGATTAATTTTAAAAAGACAGAGGTCCAAGCCTCTGCTTTTCCCACTAGGAAAAAAAGCAAGAAAATCCTGCTTTCTTCCCACCAGTCTGGATTTCCTCAGAACCAAGCTTTCACCAGCCAGCACTGCCTCTGCTCTTGACAGTCCCTTCTGCCGTTCAGCCTCTGTAGGTCATGCTGCAGTCTCTTTGCTGGTGGAGCAGCAGGCTTCCCACATTCTCAGAACTAGGCTTTCTGGCCCAGAGTCCTTCTGTGAGCTGGTTCAAGGGGCCTCAGACTCCCACACCCTCCATTGCTGCATCTCCTCCAAGAAGCCAGAATCCTCAGTCACTCACCAAGATGTCCAGCTGCCAGTCTCCAGTGTCCAGCTCTGCACCAAATGCCACTACTTCTAAGGACTCCAGCAGCCGAGGTCCCTCACAGTGGCCAGTATGAGAAGGGAGGGGGCAAACAACAAAGGGCAGGGAAGGGACCTCAATAGCTGCAACCCAGGCTGACTTTCCCTAACTTCTTCTTCTGTGACTGCAGTGGGTCACTGTCTCTTCAAGCCTCAGTTTCCCATTTGATGTGCTTCCATGCATCAATCTCACACAGACTGTGATTAACGATTTTCATAGAAGGGCTTTGTCCCTGTGGGGAGCCACTCCACATTCATGCACCTTTAAGTCCTCATGCACCACAGGGATCAGAAAGATCAATGTACCCCTTTGCCCTTTTGGGGATAGAGTGTTCCGTGGAACCTCCCTTTGTGTGTTCCTTGTATAAGAATAAAGAATTCCAATGGCTCTCTCTCTTTTCAAGGACTCTTAAGATCACAAAGCCATCTCCGGAATATTGAAAAAGGTTTTTCTGTGTGGTTGAGAGCTTTCTTTGTCATTTTGTTGAGTTCTTGGAATAGTCAGATTTTGGGAACCCAGCATTAAGTCACCAGCTAAGATAGAGGGCGATAGTTCCCTTTGCAGTTCCTTGTGCAGTTAAGGGGTACTGGATCCTTTTTGTGCAACTAAACCCCTGGGTAAACTTAAGAAGAGGCTCACTTCAACTGTTACTCCAGCCTGGAACCCTGGCACCCATACCTCAGAAGTGGCCCTGGGCACTTTAATAGCCCCAGGAGCAACCAGTGTTAGGGATGGTTCTGGAAACCAGGGCAGGTGAAAGGTGACACTGTTCCCTACCTCAAATCCTGCTAAAAAGAAGCAAAATTTGCCCCTTCCTGTAATTGATAGATCCCCAGTAGGTTTCAAGCTGGAGAGTGAATGGGGTCTCTCTGCCCTTCTGTCTGCCAGGCCTGGCTCCAAGCTCCCCAGCTTGAGATTAGCCAGGGATGGGGTGCCTTGATCACAAGTGGCTTCCAGGGCTGTCAAGCCTGGCCCAGAGGCCCAGTACGGTGGCTGGACGTTCTCAAGATCCCCTCAGGACAACCTGACTTCAGAGACCAGACCTGCAGAGAAGGAAGGGGCTTGCCAGGGGCCTCGTCCACTGGAGGCCACAAATGCCCCCACTGTGGCTGAAGAGTTCCATCTGCAAGTCAACCACACAGGGGCAGCATGTGCCCAGAGCCAGGTTGAATTTCTGGTTCTCATTGTCCTTCCCCAAATCCCAGTTCATGGGAGAGAGAGAGAGAGAGCCAGGACTTCAACCAGGACAAAGAGGTGATGGGGCTAGGGAGGGACTATTCTCACCTATAAAAGAGAGTCTTCCCATCTAACACCCAGCCCATCTCAAAGACTTGGGGAAAGGCTCTCCACTTAAAAAACAATTATGGAATCTTTTTTGACTGCATTGGAGATTGAACCCAGGGCCTCACACATGCAGGAAAGCACCCTACCACTGAGCTACATCCCCAGGCCCACAATTGCAGAATTCTCAAGCATACACAAAAGCACAGGGGATAACTTCACAAAGCCCCAGGTGCTTATCAGCCAGCTTCAACCACTATCAACTCATGGCCAACCCAAAACTAGACCCACATCCGCCCCCCCTCACCTCTGGATTACTTTAAAAATAAAGCTATCAAGTCATTTCACCTATAGAACTTCAGAACAAGTCTCTTAAAGACTGAAAGAAAAAAAGAAAAAAAAACCAGCACCGTTATCACTTAACCTTATTCCTTAATATCATCAAATATTTCCTCAGAGTTCAAATTTCCCCCAACTGCTCACGAATGCTTTGCAGTTAGTCTGGATTTGAATCAAATAAGGTCAACACATCACATTTGGTTGACATGTATCTGAATTTCTTGGAATCTAGAGATTCCCCATCTTTGCTTTTTCTTGTAATCTTGTTGTTGTTATTGTTGAAGAAAAAATTAGGTTATCCGCTTTATGGAGTGTCCCAATCCAGATTTTGGTAATTGTATCCCCATGTGTCATTTCACATGTTCCTCTGGTCCTTGTATTTCTTGTAAACTAGTAATGGATCCAAGAAATCAGATTCAGATTTGATTTTGTGGCAGAAAGAATGCC